GGCGAGAACACCCATGGAACGCGGCCGTCCCCCTTTACCCGGTTTGCCAAGCGGAAATTCGTGGTACCGGGGTCTGGGGAAGGAGCCTTGGGATCCGGTTGGGGGTGTTTTGGTCTCATCCCACACTTTGGGGTCTGATCCCGAAATCACACCGACCGGGTAGCGTTTGGTCCAGCGGAAAGTGTTGCATAAGATTTTACCCCACCCGGGGCCTTAAGCGTTAAGCCTTAAGCTCCTCCGCGGCTGACCAACGTCCGCCCATTAACACCGTTTGCGCGCCCTGCGCCCCACTCGGACGGACAGGGAGAGACATGCCGACGGGGTTGCTTTGGATCCCGACGCCCGTGATCCCATAAGCGTTGAAGCAACCGTAAGTGGTCGCCTTAAGATCAAGGGTGGGGGTATTTACCGAATCGTTACGGATGGAAGACACTGAGGGACCGCCTGAGGTACCGGCTGTATCCGTCGCGAGCGAACTGTCTCCTTTCCACTTAAATCTGTGAGAGAGAGCGTGTTCGACTGTGCGTCTCATGACAGGGTCGGTAAGAAGGGAGTCAAAACCCACAGCGGAGACCGGACACAAGGGTAAATTCGTTACCGTTGTACCATTACCGCGCGACAAACCCTGGCTGGCTGAAAGTAGGGGGGTGCAACTTGTGCCCTGACCCGAAAGCCCTGCCCCGAGATCGGAGGCGCCGAAGGGTCCACAAAGGGACCCGCAACGGGCCCCATAGGAGGAAAGACCTCCAGGGGCACAGCCTCGCTGTAGCCGGTAAAATCGGGTAAACCACCGCCTGAAAACATAAGTCTGTGAGTATGCCCTCCGATCAGCAGGGGGAGACCGAGAAAAAATATCGGTACCTCCACCATCGGGCCTCCTACTCGACGTCTCGGTACACAAAGTACCGGTAGCCGAGCGTGAGGACTTTCCACTCATGCCAAACACGCAACTCACTTTAACTGATTTTTTTACTGGACGCGCGACCTTGCTGTGAAAATACGAGCGACACGGTAAAAATGACAAGGAAAGCTTATCCTACCAGCTGCAATGTCAGATGCCGCGCCAAATAACCCAAGCTAGAAATCCAGACAGGAAAAAGCAAGCGATCCAGGCAGAGCCGCTAGACTTCATCTCCACTCGATGCGGAGAAAAAGCAGAGTGAATAGCCAGCCGTAATGGCGCCGCCATATGGCCTCGGTCACGTGGTTCGTGACGTAAGGGAAAAGAATCTTGGGGTCATGGGGCTACCCCTGACCTAGATTCTATCTCTCCGTCATTGGCAGAATCGCTGAATAATGCCTACAGTTCAAAATAGTCATTTTGACTGACCGGAGTCTATGGTGGGTAATTGAACGTAGTGAATTGACTGCTCACTGGTCATATTCAATATGATCACCAAATGTAAAATGGCTGCCAGCTGGTCATATTTTATCAAATAACTGATCAATTGTCTTTAAATCAGCTTTGAATTTCATTTTTCATATGATAAATAGTCAGAAATACTACCGTTAAAGTCCTAATATAAACCGTATACGTAATAGTAACCGCACCCCCAATTCCGGCTTCAGGGTTAAAGAGTTCTTAACAAAAATTGAAAACTTGAAAAGTACCTATTACTAACCGCACCCCCAATTCAACAAGACCGTGACTTCATTGTTTCAACCAGCTGGTCCAAAACGGCATTGTTCCTAATCCTATTCATTTGTTTCGACAACGTGCCTAAAAATATTCACACCTATTTATTGTTCAGCGGTGATAAGATGTCAGACACGCAATGAAACTGCTTTTAACCTCTCTCAATACTGTTTTTGAATACGTCTGTGTTTCGTAAGTTTTTGACAATGAGCTGTTATCACCGTAAAAGTGTTAAATTCTTCTTCAATGCTCAGTTTATCTTTCGAAAACAAATAATTTCTTGATTTAAAAACAAATCATGCCATTTTCCCATGGAAATCAAAGCCAAAAGATCGCACTACATTATCGGTAAATCTCTTCCGTGTTCACCATGAGGTCGCTGAAACTGTCATTAACATATTTAAATGAGCTATGTAATTTAGACACGTGGGCACCATCCAGCATTTTGATTGGTTAATTAGCGACTTGACTTATCCGGTCAATAAACACGTCAAGTGTGCATTCAAAAACATGGCGGATATCGTATCGTATTGACCGTTTACATGTGACCGTTTACGACGAAACTAAGTTGAATTTTACTTGCATTTCATAACAATTCAACGGATTTATTTTTCGTGCGTTATTGTAATCACTACTGAATAATAATCACCAATTTCAACACTTCGAAAACAAGTAAGTTATTCACTTGTGAACCGCAGCATGGCCGGATTGCGCTACCGTTCCGTGCTCATTTGCTACTCAGCAGTGCATTCGTGTTTGTTTTTATTTGAAACTTCTGTTAGAATATACTTTTCGTTACCAAGAAAATTAAAACAAGCAGCCTATCGGCTGAGATAGCTCCGCTGTTA